GTTAGTTTCCGAAAGAAATAACTGTTAAGACTGTGGTGTGTCGATTTTGTTGCGTGTTCTTAATCTCGGTAATTAACTCGTTCAGACAATCGTTGCCAAATAGCGTCTGGCGGTTGATAAATCAGAAGATGAACACAAAGTGATGAATACGTTTATTCGGAACACACCACAAAGCGAAGCGGAATAGCAGTGAATAAAACGAATGAAGCGACGTGAACTGGAGAAGGCTTTTGAGCCAAATCTATGGGTTGCAATTCGAACGAATGGGCGAAGGAAGCGATGTGGAGAAGGCTAAGAGCCAACTCAAAGAGATAGAACATGACTAAGAATATATATTCAGACAAAAATAAGGCAGGCATGCGACAATCGAAATAGGCGTGCACACACATGAATAAAAGCGACGAATGATTGACAAGGTCAAATGACAAGTGAGACATGCCATGTGAGCTCATACAAACCAGACAATAATAAGAACGAATGGTACATATAAATTGTTGCTATACAAATGGCTTGGTTAAATAAATTAATCGAAAGGGCTTAACCAAGTTAGATGTAAGCGAATTGGAATATATGTGGAGGCACTACAAGACTATTTCAGCTGAAATCAAAGCAAAATTTTAAAATTCCAATGTTCCCAATACAAGTACAGTTCGTTTTTCTGATCATTAATGCTTGATTTTTTATATTTATTTACAAAGGTAAACAGTTTACAGTGATGAAGCTATTTTAAAACAAATGCCGATAAACAAATACTCATAAGTGTTACTGAAATAAATTAACATAATTAGAAATCAACAATAACAACAACAATATTTCTCTTCGTGTCGATGTAATGAGCATTAGAAAACGAAAAAACAAAGTGATGACAATCTCAAAAGAGAGTACATTCTGAATGATCAAATGGTCAATTCCTCAAGGGGGATAATACAAATAATGTTCAATAGTTACAGTGTTGTTACAAGAAAAAATCAATGTTGTCTATTTAATTATTAGTAGAAATACGTGAAGTTTTATTTTTAACCAAAAAAGACAAGTTTCAATTAATTGAATTCAAGCATCAAATTGTTTCTGTTGTGCTTAAAAAAGTATCGATCACTAGCCAGTTCGATAAAATGGCACGAATTTACTGACGAAATTGATTCATAGACAATGGTAATTAAACCTGGGGCTGTATACACTGAATCTTAGAACATAATAAATGGTGATCAATAGTGAATAACAGTGATGGAACATATTTGAACATATTGACCAGTTTGAAAGATAGTTTCAAATAAATGATTACCATGATTTATTCTTTCATTAAAAACTATTTGAAGGTTTTATGTATCCCAATTTGGTATCAAGCGAATAGAGAGAGAGAGCGAGTGAAAATCAAAAGCTATTGTATTTTGCAATAGCTAAAGAATCCTCGAGATAATACATAAATATTCATGTGTGAGGCCGACAACATTAATCGAATAGGCAGTCATTATATATATATATATATATATAAATATATATATATATATATATATATACTTCTAAGACATGATTTTCTAGTAATTTATTCATGATCATTTTTTTAAAATTTAATTTTAGGCGCACAATACCGAAGGTCCTGGGTGTGGATCCTGCGAGGTGCAGGAGTCGTGGATGCGCACTGCCAATGAGTCCCATACCAGGACGAAACGGCCGTCTTCCAGTGTTTCCAGGTTTCTAATGGTAGTCTAACAATGATTGATTGATTGATGATTTCAAATGTGTAAAAACACAAATCTCCAAAAATTTAACTGAAAATTAATTTTAATTATCAATCTAAAGTTTTGTAATGATATTCAGTTTAAAACGCTGCTTCACATTATCTAATTAACTTTTCTACCAAAATCAAGAAAAAAATGTTTCCACTGTCTTATCTCTAGTCTCTATGCCTGGTACAATTTATTCATTTTATTTATTCGATAGTAGGCAATTATGAGAAAAGAATTGAGGATTATCTTTATTGATAAATTTGAATAAACCATTAGAGTTAGAATCAATTTAATAGATTAGCTGATAGAAAATAAATCATATATTTTCTTTTTTGTAATTAGCCTGCAGATTCTTTTTTTCTGAGACTTGAATACTGTTTTATGTTTCAAATGTTTGTATACAAATACATACACACAAGCATTCCATCATACAGATATAGTAATTTCACACTTGTTTTATGAATACATATCCTGACGTGACGATGAAATGAAGGTGGTTATAAATGAAGAAAAAGCTGATGTCTGCAGTGATGAAAAACAAATTATTATCAGTTTTATTTTGTTCTGGTTCGTTCGTTCTGGTCGCGTTAAATGTTCTTCTAAGAACGTGTGTAGCTGATCTGCTCATCAACAGATATGCTTGAATGCTATCACGAGTTCACTTAACCTCGGTAAACGGAACGAAAGCAATTACTCAGTGACACGATAGGCTATTCTAATCTGTTTCTACCAACCCATGGCTAACTATATCAAAATGTCTTGTTAAGATGTAGAGAATGTATTCCACAAGCACCAAGAAAATACGAGGTTGACAAGCACACAAACCAAGCTTATTTATAAATGACAGAAACGCTCTTGGGAAAGTCACAAAACAGTGTACTAAAATAATCCATTAACTAATGACAGTCAAGGATGTTTCGAGTGAGAAACGTGAGCTGAAGGTCAACTGGCGCGAAAACATGGAAATTCAAAATTTCAGAAATAAATTACAAAATTAGGACCTTTTCCAAGTGAGTTCTGGGGATCTAATCTCACCAACAATAGCGTTATCGTAAATACATCTACTGTTAATTTCCTATGTATTTAAATATAAGACACTGAATCGTTGAATGGAAACGTTGCACTAATCAGTGTATATCAGTCATTGAATCATAATTATAAGCTACCTAAAACAGGTTATTTACACAAACAAATATATTTTAATGAGTTGATTTTAAAAGATTTTGCTAAATAGTAATTGTCTGATGTATATTACTTTTCATTAAAGTAATTAAAACAAACTTTGAATGATGACATAATCTATTTTGACTGTGTAAGTTTTGTTCTTTTCGGGACATGTTCACATAGATTATTCATTTTGATCACAAGTTACACAACGAATTAACTTCAAATACATGGATATTAAAAACCAGGGAGCACTAGATGGTTATTCTAACTTAGTTATTGTGACTTGGTAATGAACACTAATAGCAACAGTGATTTATGGAGAATCATATGACGAAGACGCATGAAGTTAATTAGATCCATATTATTCTGCATAAATTGATGTAACTGTTATACAATGATCAGTAGATTTTACTGATACATTTTTATAAAATATTTACAGTCATGGACAGTAATATTTCATATTTATAAATCGCTTGTCACGTTACATTAATTTAAATTCCATTCAACATAAATTCGTTAATGGTAGTTCGAAATACCACGTAATGAATTGTATATTTATTTTTTATGATGTACAATGGCCATATAAAATAAGAACATATTATCACTTAAATGCTCACTTTCAGATTTTTAAATACATTCTTACATAGTGTCCTATATAAGTAATACCATAGTATTTTGTACTATAATATGAATAATTTGGTTAACGTCTACTCTCATTAAAAATATAACTCTAATGTACCGCGAGAAATGTAGGTATTCTCGTTCACAATATACAAATGCATTAGACGCTCTGTAAATTCTATAAATAACTGAAGAAATTTCTCTATCGATTAAGATCAAATACATTCAATTTATATGTATATTCCGAATAAATTTAATTTTGTTTTGAATATTTCCAAGCTTTGTTTTGTTTATGAAATTTGTTTCTCATTTGTGCAAAACTAAATTGATTGCAGTTTATTTGATAAGTTTTTTCGAAATGTATTCGCTTCAAAATCAGCATTAACAACAATAAACAAAAGAATTTTATGATTTTGAGAAAAAGAAAAGTTTTTTATTGTTTAAAACAAAAAAATTAATGAATTTTTTTTCTAATGAGAACTTGATGTTGTTTGTTTGTTCGCCTATTTATTTGAGTGTCATGTGCAGTCATCTTTATAAACATGTTTATTTAGCGATGAAACGCTAAAGTTAATTAAAATGCTGTTAGATTATACAAAAACTTATTGTTGCTTAAAAGTGAAATAACAATAACAGCTTTGGAAATACACTACTTAACTGTGTTTACACTACTATCATATAGAAATGGGTTTATGGAGTGACTGATTATCAAAATCAGTCTCCTTCTAATGGAGATAACTTTCAAACCATACACTGTAACAAGTTAAAATCTGTTGGAGGAATATGAAAAAAAAGATGTACTAAATAGTTTTCTAAAGGTCTGAAAGCATAGAATGCTTTGTTGTGCAGTTTTGTAGGCATTTTCGTGTTTTAGTGTTCAAAAGAGTAATCATAGATGCTTTTTTTATTTAAATATAACGTGAACAGAAAAATCTCTAGTCAGTGTAAAACTTTGTTTTCAATTGTATAGCATTTCAAGTATTTAATTTCTGTACACTTTTTATTTAATGAATAAATAAAATTTAATACAGTCATGTAGCATGACTGAGTATAATAAATTTTATGAAGTGTTTAAGCAGTTTTTTTGAAATTCAACACTTCTTTCTATGATTGTCTTCAATAATTTATACACAGTCATAATTTAATTGTTTTAAATATCTTTTTTTTAAGCAAAACTTTACACAATAAAAGTCATCAACTCTTAATTTCTTTACATTCAATAAAATAGGGAAAAATGACTTGTTAACAATACTTTTTTGTACTTATATCTTGCTGCGTGTCCATTAACTCTTAACAACATAATTTCGACGCTTAAAAGAACAAAAACGGTGTTTTCGATTGATCAGTCAGATACTTAGACAATTGTCTGTATGAGATATGGCTACCATACAGCAGATGAAACATTGTATAATTATCAACAAGATGAAATGTTCTACTTTAGTGTTTCTTTACTACGTAATGGGTGAAAAATATTGCATTACTTACTTTTCGTAAATTGTAGGTGATTCCAACAGCAAATGAACATTGTCAACGTCATCTTCTTCAACATTGAATGTAGATGATGCATGAGAAAAATATAAAGCTTCTGTTAGATTCACAAACATTTTTATGATATTTTTAAATGCTATACGTTCATAATAATTAAGACTGCAAATGTGTACATTAAATATCAACATCAATATGGTTGGTGCTTGTTTAAAACATTTTCTTGATAAATGTTTGTCATAATTGACTAGTGCTTGAGGAAATGATTTATTGGAATTTTTGAAATTAATATTTAATAATAAATGTGTATTTACATAGTATTTATTTAAAAATATTGAATAGTCATCATTGTTATGATATGATCGATTAAATTTGGTATAATTTTCATCGGAAGACAATGCATTGTTCACATCCAATGAGTCACATTGAAAACATAATCCTTTTAATGTTATAATATTGATTTTTTCAGTTTTATTCATAGATGCTGAAGCGAAACGAATACAAGTGGGTAAATTCCATAAATCCTGTGCAAAAATAGAAATGAAGAGTATGATAACTATAAATGAAGCAGGGAAATATTGTTGGTTTGGTAATTGCAAATTTTTATTATGATAGAATAATGATACAAGAGTTCATAAAAAAGTATTTTAATTAATTTTGCTATATATTTTTTATTTTTCCCTGCTAATCTTGTTATGCTCATCTCTAAGTATGCTTAGAACTTTCACGAGTTCACCTTAGTCGAATTGCGAGAACAAAGTAATGAACCAGCGTCCAGGTAGGCTACTGTGATCCGATTTTCCCAATTGTATCAGCAAGAAGTCTTGATATAGCTTAGAAAGGGTATTCTACAAACACCCAGCCAGTACACAATCAATCCAAGCACTCAAATTGTGTTTATTTATACTCCATAGGGACGTCCTTGGGACAGTCACAAAAACAGCATACTGAAATGGCACAGTATCCAATCACAGCCAAGGATTTTCCTGGTGGGAAATGTTATATCAAGGTCAACTGATAGGTCCATGAAATAAATTCAAAATAAGCATATTTATCAAGCGAGTTTCGGGGATCTAACATCTCTAACATCCTATACCGTAGTTCCTGACTTTTAACACTAGTAGATTAAAGTTTTTTTTGATTTTGGTGAATTTAATGTAATGGATAGTGGAAATCATCTTGTTAACCTAGAAATATAATCAAGTTTCAGGTTCACTCATTGAATTTCACAATGTAATTATCTAAAAAATAAGCAATCATGTCACTCAGGTTTTACGTTTGAAATCCTAACCTGTAGACTGTGGTTAATAGGTTCCATGTAAAAATATAGAAACAAAAAGTGTGATGTTAGAAATATAAAACTATCCTTTAATTCTTATAAGTTTCAAAATGCTTACCTAAATATTGACTTTTTAATGTGTTATCACTCATACAACGATTTCATGTTATTTAAAACAATTAGTCCCTTTTGTAGAATTTTTTTTGATAGAACAGTGGTAAGAGGTAATTGTCATAACCTTGAATTTACCCTGGTAATCTTTAAGCCTAGAGTAATGTGACAATTTTCCTACCCTTTCTTATTCTTTTCATATTACGTTAATTTTCTCTCTCCTTTATTTACATTTATCACCTTACGTCTATTTGAACTTTTATTTAATTGAAGTTTTATTAATCTTCATGTAAAATGCCTTGACAAGTAAATATGTGTGATCAGATTGTTCGAAATGTATAGTGCAAATACATAACATTTTTTAGATCAATTACGTCTTCTCACTGTTCTATCGAGATTTCATGTTAGTCAATTATTTTTGTAATTAATTTTACTGTTTACGCTGAATGAATGAACGTTTTACGTTCAGCAGTATGCGTGTTTCATCCAAATTCAGGTACAATCTAATCCTGGTAGTATTTATTTCACGTTCTTTCATTGAGACAAAGAGATCTGATCTTATTAATATCTAATGTTAAGTTCGTTTTAAATACACATTACTGACTTGAACCATCAATCTAACTGTTACTTTTTTTCTAAACAGGAACAATGCATCTATGAATCTTCCAAAACTTATGACAAACACTTAACAAAATTCACTGAATTTATCCATTCGAACAGTCTTATTAGTCCGAAAGAAAATAACTTTTTACCTATTCAGTTCAATTAAAACGTACTTGTTTTTGAATGAAATGCCTTCAGGTTATTAATTCTTTTTCCAGTTATTATTTGTTTTTTGTTTCTTTCAAATATATGAAGAGATTATTCTATAATGCACATAAAATACTTAAAATTATCTTATTGATTTTCTTCTGCATAACTGTCCAGTCTAAATCCTTGAATTCTAGGTCATAAAAGTTTATTAAATTGCAACGTTAAAAAAGGAAATAAAAATCCACATATTTACACCTAGTTTCGAATTAAATACACTTTTTTGAGCTTAAATCATCATGTTGTAAAAGTAGACTGTTCAATTAAAATTCATCCTAAATTATTCATCAATGAACAAGTCTTTTGTTATTGTGTTAGAATTTTTTTTTTACTAAAGACTTATTTTTATGAGAGAATTTCATTTTTTCGGAATGCGAATTTGTAAGAACAATAACTTTACGAGCTAAGTCAAGGCACTGATTTACATAGAATCACGATTTAATATTAAAATATTGTGTCAATGTCACCTAATTACAAAGTATAAGTGTTGATTTGCATGCCGAAATATGATTGATAGTATTTTTAATCTAACAAACATTATCATCGATTCTAATTTGAATGTTATTTGTTCAAATATCTCTGGCATAAATATTGATGTTGTTCTTTTAATCTATTCGATTTTAGTACATTGATGGATTTCACTTCAAATAATTGAAACAATCGTTCAAGATTCAAATTATTTCAGTGTTGAGTAGTGAGATAAATTTTCAAATGACAACATCATTCATAAAAGGATTTTCCTAGTTTTTTTTTTTTGAAATTCGTAAACTGATGAATAACAGTATTTTTAAAATGTAAACACTAGAGCCATTTTGGTTTTGATTTGATGATAAATTTTCTGAAGTTAGGGAGAATTAAAAATCCGGAAACAGTGAATTGTTGATTGACGTTTTCTTTAATTCATTTGAACTAACTCTACGGAACCAGTTTGTACTGTTTGTGCATTTTATCTTGTTATTATCAAACTGTTCTAATTATATAAAATCAATCACCATTCAAAACATCAGGAATTCAAATTTTTCTAATTGTTTCTGTTTTCGTACAACCCTAAATTGAAAAAGATATTTCAATTTTGACTGATATTTGACAAGTAACTTTTATCGTCCAAAATGTTTACTCTTTGCAAAACAGGTTTTCCTCATTTAGCATAATGTTGAGTAACAAACGATTAACAGGTATAATCTTATTTTGGACAATATCTTGCACACTTTTTTAGTCCAGTGTTATCAACAGATAAATTTTTGTATTTCATTCTGAGGAGTCAAGGAAATAGTTGATGTGTCACTCATTTTGTTTACTTTATTGAATAAATTCAAGAACAGGCTGGTGATAATGAAAACTTTGAGACTATTTGATAAATTTTACAAATTCAATTGATCATTGAATCTCAATGCTTCTCTGCAAATATTGTTCTTTAAAACTTCCACAATTTCTAAGGCTAACCACTGAAGCTCGGATTAATTAAATTGTAACTTGCTTGCAATATAATAAGACTATTTTAATAAAATGATTTCGTAAAATTTCCAATATACTTTTTTTGTTTTTTTTCATTTGTCAAATTTTGAATATGTTTGTCCCATATTTGAAAAAAAAAAGAAAACATTTCTATTTCTGTTATAGATAATAATTTAATTACTCTCTAGGGAAATCTATTATTCTGCAGAATGATGTTTTTCTCTTTTCTAGAATAATGCAAAAAACTTATCACATCTGCTTATACAATTAACAAGTGTTGATTTTTTTGGGAAACCAATACAACTGGTTGGCTTTTTATATGGTTTCATTGTGAACATATACTCATAAATTGGTTTGATTAGTTTGATATTCACGTAGATTAGAGTAAAGCTTGATTATCTGATTGAAAGTAACATTGTTTATACGTTATTGTCTATTGTTATAAGTTTCAAAATTGGAAACTCTAATAACATTAATGTTTGTATACAGATTCAATGGAAGTCATGAAATTGTAACATTAGTGAATTTTTGACCATTTCTATGAGGACATTGTAAGAATATCATGTAAACTTTCAAAACTACGACCATTTTAAAGTTTTGTTCAGCTCTTACGTCGGCTAATAATAATAATCTAATTAAACATGGTATTTAAGGCAGAAAGTAATCGATATATATTATTGTTCATCAAGCTAAATTTGTTGTGACGTAAACATCAGTGAAATATTGAGAATTCGTAGCGTCTGATTTAGAACGGTTAATCAAATAGTTTTCATTTAGATTTTCTTAAGAATTAACTTAGCAAACTAGTTAAAGAGCATTTGTGATTGCCACACAAACATGGTCAGGTTATATCTATTCAAAAGACAACTCTATAACGTCGTACAATCTGCACCTCACCTTTCCATCGATGAATTAAAAATGATAATAACATCTGTTAACTACAGAACTGATTTTTGTGGTTAGCAGTAGTTGTCTCTATGACGAGTATTCTTCAAGACTAAGTCAATTACCGGATAGTTACATGCATCCAATAACATTTATTGATAAAAACAAAACTAATATAAGTCAAATTCATGTCAACCAAATGTTTCATTGTTATAATAGTAAACGTTTTATCATAAACCGTTAAACTACGACCATAGAAATAGAAGCCTTAATTTTTGAATCAGGAGTGGTTGACTGACTGTTATATTGTGATGCGAATAGGATGATGAATATGTCAGTGCAGAAAGGTTCTCTATAAATGACTTTCAACCACTTAATATTGAAATATCATGCACACCATGCTGAATAAGTGATATGAGTGGTATTGGTCAGCAGAATTCGATCAGCACCAAAGACTATATGAATTATAACAGAGTTCATCAATAGATATTTAATTAGAAGTTCCCATTCTTATCTATTTTTGTGTCATCTACAAAAGTAATTGTTTGATTGGACAAAATAAGTAATTTCATGATTATATTTCATTAGGCTGTATATGTGTACATTTTTTTTTCTACAAATCCATATATTCTTCCCTCTTTTTGCATTTCATAACCATAATAACGAACTATTTTTACTTACACTGTCTTGTAATCAAAACAAAATTCACGATAGTAGATACAAAGAAAGAGAAATGAACATTAAGTCACTATAAAATAATTGTTTTGCCTATTTTTTTGTACTGTCAATCATATTGTTCTCTTGTTTAGAATAATTTATCCATGTTAATAATGCAACATTCAGTTGACTTTGTAATAAATTGTAGAGAAAAAACAATAAAGAATTAAGGAAATGACCTGTAACATTGACTGAAGCATTATTGTAGTCATTGAACAACTAAAAGATAATCAGTAAGTAAGTAAGTAAGTAGGTAAGTATGTCAATACAAAAATAATATTGACCACAGAGGAAAGAAAAAAAAGGCAACAAACAAACAGGAAATAAATACAGACTAAACATTTATACGTTAGATTATCCTATTTTCTTATTATACTATATAAAGATATTCTAGTATCTAATGAATCTTCCTCTGTTTTGATAGATATGTTATGCATGATTTGTTTCATCACAACATAATTACATACAACAATGAAAGTATGGTTACTTGAAATGCTAAGAGTAAATTAGGGAATACCAGAATGTTAATTGAAACAAACTAATGTCTAAAACTCCAATAAGTTCCTTTAAGGTTATGAATCTTGGTGGGTTGTTGTTGACACAGGGTCAATCGATTTTTATCTTCATCGGTTCAGACTATATATGTTTTTATTTGATAAAACTGATTGATTCACAATTCCAATGTGCAATAACAATCCCTATAACTCTATGATGAAAAATCATTAGTGACTAAATTCTTGAGGAAAATCTCGGAATTCTAGTGAGAATACATAACCAGTGGAGTTCAACACTGTTGGGTGTAGGCAGTAACTACTGAAGACAATCGGTAATGTTGTGCAAAATTCTTAGATTGATCAAAGTTAAACAATAACACCACTAGATACCGATTCAATGTTCTGGAGGTTTAACGTTCGCGCACAAGACCAAAGTTCTTGGGTTCGACTCATGCAAGTGGCGGTAGTGGATGTGTGCTGCAGAAGAATCCCATACTAGAAAGAAATGGTCGTTTGGCCATTTGGTTTTCACTCTTACTATTATTTAGTTTAGTATAGACTAGTTCACTCATCACTAAGCTGATTTAAGATAATACAGTTATGAGGTTCTCAGATTGACAGTCGGTACATAGTAATAAAACTCCTTGTAATAACATGTCTTTTTCGTAGTCGATGACTGCAAAACAATGCCTATTAAGGGTTCTATATACAGATGAATATGAAATCCTTATGTATCTAGATAATCACAAAGTTTTTTTATAGAAAGTTTAATTGGAATTCTATAGCCTACTCTTTTGTAAATTCAACACATTTCTACTTTCTAGTTTTCAAAATCTCACCAAAGATAGAATCTTTACATTCTCACAAGAAATGTCAGGAAATAATTAGTAGTAGATAACATTTATTGTAGAATCAGTTTACGAACTACATATTCACTTTATTGGTTACCAAATTAGATTTTCTTCACTTTCTAATCATCAGCTGATGAGTATCTTTTAATATCATTATTATTCATCTAGGGATCACTGAAGTTTATTAAAATAAATATATATAAATTTAAAAGTATCACTCAAACATTTGTTGTGTCAAATAAGGTTATTCTAACTATAAGCTTTTTTTAGTTGATAGATTTTTTCCTGACAAAAAAAGGATTGTCACAATAGGCAAACAGGGTAGGCGACCGATTTCATGTGTTTTTCAGGCTTAGCTGTCAAAAAAAATTAATACTTAATTGTATATATATTAAAATTTCTGAGAAATTTTATGGTTGATAGAGCTTTTGACAATGATAGATTATACATAGTTGTGAGTTATGTGCATGCATGAGTTATACAGGGCAATAGAAATACATCTCACGAAGTAAACAGAGAGACCGGATATGCATTACGAAATAAAAACAAAGTAACTAAGACACAATACACACCCTATATTCATTAGGTTTTGTTGACAAGGGTTAATCAAAGAAAAGAATTTAACTTTGTACTAAATAATCAAGTGTTAGTTGGCTGTAATCTACTTTATTATTTTATTAATTGTATGACTGTTTATTTATCTACGTTTCTTGCTCCATAGACCTCATCATTCATTTGTTCGTCACCTAGGTTGTTTTTTTAAAAATATTGCCTACTAAGCACACACATCAATAAAAAAGGCAGGAATTGTTTCACAAACACAATTGCAGCCACATATATAATGTTGAAATGACAAGTGGAAAAATACACCCATTTGTAAACACTTTGGCATATATATATATATATATATATATATATATATATATATATATATATATATATATATGTCAAATTTATGGATAGATTTACAAGCCAAACAAAAATTTCACTTAAATGGACACTAATTAAAGCTGTCATCTACTATAGATTGGTCTGAATCATTGTAAGAACAATATTTCCCTATCTGATGTTCATTGAACCAATTGAAAATAGCAATCATTAATATTTGATCGTTTTATTTTTAATTTGAGATTAATTAATGCTTGTCTATCAAAAAGTAACTATTATATTAACTTTTTGAATACAGAAACTAATATTATTAATAATAATAATAATAATAACTAATAATTGTTATGAAGTAGTTGACTTCTGACTTAATGTTTATTAGCTGATGTATTCCGTACAAGTGAAATACAGAATTATAGTGGCCGTACTCAGAAATCTACTTCTTATTTGTCTGTCGATTGATCAATAAAATAAGAAAACATGGTAAACTAATGAAATTACAACAGAGTCGCCTACCACATATTATACTGAATTCAGATCACACTGAATGAAATCGAATGCTAGACTCAATTAAATATCAAACTAAAAATAAAACAAACATTCTAACT